CATGAAAACCTTCAAAGGTGTGCTTGTTCTGGAAAGAAGATTGGACATGTCTGTAAAATGAAACGTGTGAACTGCTGATTAAGATTACGACTAAAGCGCATGTTATTCTCAAAATAATTGGTTTCTAATTCTTTTTTCGGCTTCAAATGAAGTTTTGCGTATCTGGAACTTCTGCAGCCCTATGGAAATTACATTTTCATGATTTTGCAAGGTAGGAAAACGTACCGACACCAGTAAAAATCCCTGGATAACAGAAAAGTCCAGATGAATAGCGCAAGGATTTATTTCCAGTAACAGATTAATCTTTCTTCAGGGAGCAAACGACTTTTGAAATTTTTCGACAAACTTGATCACCTACCAACCACCAATTTTGCCTCCTGATCTAGAAAGCATTACGTTGAATGAAAGGATAGGTTTAAGCCTATTAAAGAGTATTACATTCTAAGGAAATAGATGGTCGACCGATGACCGTCACCTACCTGATAATACGATGGTATAATGTTTCACTAAAACGAGTAAATCACTGCCCTTACTCCCTCATATTGCAGACAGAATACTGAATGCCTCAAAAGACCAAAAACAACCGCAAATGACCCATTTCGGGTAAAAGGAGGAAGGTTTCGTTAATAGATGCTTTTTCGTGTTGAAAAGCAACCAATGACGTACGTATTTTTGCCAGTATAACTGAAACCGTCCAGCAAAAATAATGTTGTTTAAAACGAACACCCAAAATGCGGTTAAAAAGACCAAATGTTTTTTCATACTTTCCACGACGCTTGTTGACAGTGAAACTGACAAAAGAGACAGTATAAAAAACTTGAATTTAGAGGATTGATCCAAATAAATCAAATTAACTGTTAGCGGTAGACTGACTTATATAACCCGTAAGACTTTATAAAATATGCAAGCAAGAAAGCCAGAATTGCTTACCCAGGTCATCGCCACTTGCTAAAAATTAAGTAATATGTCATTTTAGATTAAAGTAAATTGCGCTACGGTGTTCAGACGATAAGAAACCACAACGAGATATTACCGCCAAAAAGTTTGAATAACCCTTTGACTGAAACAGAAATGCGATTATTATTTTTTCCAGATATGATTT